TTAAAAGCATTTAATTACTTTATTTAAATTAATTTATTACTTATTTAAGAACCTTATTAGCCTTAAGAAGTAAGTTATAAGAATTAAAAAGTAATTAGATTATAATACCGCGTATAAAGTTATAGGTATGTGTAGGTGTATCGCGTTTAAGCTAATAAAATATATTATAATTTAACGTTAAAATATCTTAAATTTAATAGTAAACTAGGCTTATAATTATTACGTTAATAGCTATGAAAGTAGATTAAATAATAGAATTATCCTTAATTAAAGCTATTTAAATACGAAAAATAAGCCCTTATTTATAGATATTAAGGTTAATTAATAGGTTACCTAAAAAGTTATTAATTTAAGGGGTTTTATAGTATTTAACTATTAAAGGTTTAGCTTTAATACGATAGTAGCGTAAGCCTTCTTTTAAGGCTTTTTATACAATCGAAAAGCAGCAATTTAAGGCGTTTTGGGGCTTATCGGGGTCCCCGATAAATAGCAGCCTTTTTCCATTAAAAGGGGCCTTTGGCGTTGACAAAAGGCCATGGCGCAGGTCCTTTGACCAAGAGATCCGATCGGAGTTCCCGTGCCACTTCTTGTAGGGCCAGGCGTCTCTACAAATGCCAAGGCGGTAAATCTTATTCATAGATTCGACTACGAAGTACTAGTGCTTCAAAGTTCGCATCGGCCTTGAGCCCACGGACTGTTCCGATCTCCGACTTTTCGCTTTCGAGACCACATGTCTCAACTAGCTGTCCTGCCAGTTGCCTTAACATTGTATATTTAAGGTTCTTCATTCCTTTCCCTGGCCGATCTCTGATAGATAATTTATTGACTTAAATATAATTAAAGGATGTTATTATTAGATCAGCTGGTGTGTCTAACGTATCGCGATACGTTTATGGTATCTTACGTGGTTAGTTACGGTTCCCTAGCTTAGGTACAGCTAAAATGCAGTGTTACTAGATACCCTTTATTTAGCCCGTTTTTTTGATTGTTTTTTTTTTTAAATTTAATAATAATAATAATAATAATAATAATAATAATAATAATAATAATAATAATAATAATAATAATAATAATAATGATTAATTGGAGTACTCGTAATCAATTAATATATGAAAGGTCAACGGTGTAAGCCTTGAATTTTAGGGCACTTTTCAGCACCTTTTAGCACCCGCTTTCACAGGTGCCAGCACCGCTGCAGTTCACCTCGGAGCCCCACCACTTGTATAGCTTAGCCGAGCCGCCCGGTTAATCTGCCTAGGCCAGCCTCCGAAATTGAACCGAACTTGTACCGGAATCAGGAAGTTCCCGAAACGAGCTTCATAATCAGATCCTACACTGATCTTCGCATGAGGCTGATTATTTTTGATACCCTTGACGCGTCGATGGTGTATATTACCCGTTTATTTAACGATAAACGCCGTTTCGAATGCTAGGCCGCCTGTCACTTGTCTAGGGGTTTCCCGCATCCCATCACTCGTTCAGGGTTTTAGTACGGCAATACTCGAGTAGGTCCCAACTCCGACGCGACCACGGTGACCTCGTTTTAGATACTTTTGTTGATATAGGCTGTGAAAAACGATAGCTTAGGCACCTCGGACAACGCTGCCTGCCTGTCAGCTCGTCCCATAATAATGGAATCACCGGTTCGTGTTCTTATCATCGTGAAACAGAGAAGCGTTCGTCTATGGCAAGAAGCATGGGAAGAACCGCAAAAGATGATTTCGAAAGTCTTAATGCATCTCAATTATAATAGCTTGGTGTCGACGGATGACAAGTATAACAGCTCCGACTGCCGGTTTATTGCGGTAGAGCGCTGGGACTCTGTTGTTTTTATTGTCTGTGATCTGTTCAATATCAACTATAACCATCTTAATGCGCATCTAGATGGCAAGAACGAACTACCAGTTATTATAGCTCGTGTTTCTCAAGGCGAACATGGATATATTATCAAGACAAGGGAGCCGCAGGAATCCAAATTACTAGGCGATCGGGTCCGGAGTCTTCATGATATGCATGGCTGGACGGAGGGCGTACCTTACAAGATCGATCACGCTAATGGAGTACACCCTATCTATTACAATCCGCGATCACTATTAACAGATTGTATGTAAATCTTTATGGAAATGCGAGCGGTTATTTGAGTCATATATATCCCTTTGTTTCACAACATACAGGTCTCTGGTTCCCCCTAACCCTATTCACTGCTTGTGTCCGGGGTTGGAAGGCTGTGGACCGCACAAAGTGAGAAGGCGTTCTGTACAACCGAGTTGGGATCAGCTATAGGATGCTGCCCAGTTGAACATGCTAATGTTCTCTTCTCCGAAATCGTGACATTGCATCTTGTGCAACGGGTCCAAGTCCAAGTGAACATCAACTTCGGAAGCTGTTAGCACCGTATCTATATCCCGATACGCTAATATACCAACTTTAATAGGTTACCTAAAAAGTTATTAATTTAAGGGGTTTTATAGTATTTAACTATTAAAGGTTTAGCTTTAATACGATAGTAGCGTAAGCCTTCTTTTAAGGCTTTTTATACAATCGAAAAGCAGCAATTTAAGGCGTTTTGGGGCTTATCGGGGTCCCCGATAAATAGCAGCCTTTTTCCATTAAAAGGGGCCTTTGGCGTTGACAAAAGGCCATGGCGCAGGTCCTTTGACCAAGAGATCCGATCGGAGTTCCCGTGCCACTTCTTGTAGGGCCAGGCGTCTCTACAAATGCCAAGGCGGTAAATCTTATTCATAGATTCGACTACGAAGTACTAGTGCTTCAAAGTTCGCATCGGCCTTGAGCCCACGGACTGTTCCGATCTCCGACTTTTCGCTTTCGAGACCACATGTCTCAACTAGCTGTCCTGCCAGTTGCCTTAACATTGTATATTTAAGGTTCTTCATTCCTTTCCCTGGCCGATCTCTGATAGATAATTTATTGACTTAAATATAATTAAAGGATGTTATTATTAGATCAGCTGGTGTGTCTAACGTATCGCGATACGTTTATGGTATCTTACGTGGTTAGTTACGGTTCCCTAGCCTAGGTACAGCTAAAATACAGTGTTACTAGATACCCTTTATTTAGCCCGTTTTTTTGATTGTTTTTTTTTTTAAATTTAATAATAATAATAATAATAATAATAATAATGATTAATTGGAGTACTCGTAATCAATTAATATATGAAAGGTCAACGGTGTAAGCCTTGAATTTTAGGGCACTTTTCAGCACCTTTTAGCACCCGCTTTCACAGGTGCCAGCACCGCTGCAGTTCACCTCGGAGCCCCACCACTTGTATAGCTTAGCCGAGCCGCCCGGTTAATCTGCCTAGGCCAGCCTCCGAAATTGAACCGAACTTGTACCGGAATCAGGAAGTTCCCGAAACGAGCTTCATAATCAGATCCTACACTGATCTTCGCATGAGGCTGATTATTTTTGATACCCTTGACGCGTCGATGGTGTATATTACCCGTTTATTTAACGATAAACGCCGTTTCGAATGCTAGGCCGCCTGTCACTTGTCTAGGGGTTTCCCGCATCCCATCACTCGTTCAGGGTTTTAGTACGGCAATACTCGAGTAGGTCCCAACTCCGACGCGACCACGGTGACCTCGTTTTAGATACTTTTGTTGATATAGGCTGTGAAAAACGATAGCTTAGGCACCTCGGACAACGCTGCCTGCCTGTCAGCTCGTCCCATAATAATGGAATCACCGGTTCGTGTTCTTATCATCGTGAAACAGAGAAGCGTTCGTCTATGGCAAGAAGCATGGGAAGAACCGCAAAAGATGATTTCGAAAGTCTTAATGCATCTCAATTATAATAGCTTGGTGTCGACGGATGACAAGTATAACAGCTCCGACTGCCGGTTTATTGCGGTAGAGCGCTGGGACTCTGTTGTTTTTATTGTCTGTGATCTGTTCAATATCAACTATAACCATCTTAATGCGCATCTAGATGGCAAGAACGAACTACCAGTTATTATAGCTCGTGTTTCTCAAGGCGAACATGGATATATTATCAAGACAAGGGAGCCGCAGGAATCCAAATTACTAGGCGATCGGGTCCGGAGTCTTCATGATATGCATGGCTGGACGGAGGGCGTACCTTACAAGATCGATCACGCTAATGGAGTACACCCTATCTATTACAATCCGCGATCACTATTAACAGATTGTATGTAAATCTTTATGGAAATGCGAGCGGTTATTTGAGTCATATATATCCCTTTGTTTCACAACATACAGGTCTCTGGTTCCCCCTAACCCTATTCACTGCTTGTGTCCGGGGTTGGAAGGCTGTGGACCGCACAAAGTGAGAAGGCGTTCTGTACAACCGAGTTGGGATCAGCTATAGGATGCTGCCCAGTTGAACATGCTAATGTTCTCTTCTCCGAAATCGTGACATTGCATCTTGTGCAACGGGTCCAAGTCCAAGTGAACATCAACTTCGGAAGCTGTTAGCACCGTATCTATATCCCGATACGCTAATATACCAACTTTTTAATTCCTGTTGCGGTCTCACTAAAAGGTAGAGAACTTGATTCTAGGAAGCCTAAAGGATGGCTCTCAAAGTATGCGGGGTAAGAAAGATCTAGAAGTGCTTACTTCGTCTTACCCCCTCAGGCAGTAAGACCCACTCTAGTTGTTTAATGGGCCTATTCTTAGTATACGCGCTTGATTTGCGGCAAGACGCCGCTCGTTTACCAGCGTGATTACTGCGGCCTGTATGCTTGAAAGCAACGTATCCTAAGCCAAGAGCAGATACAGCCAGGTAACCACGCCTGCCGATCCCATAGACACCCTGGCCAACATCACCGATGTTGAGAGTCTGCCTGATCGAAGTAATCCGAGATAGCTACTCAGCTCACGCAAAGGCAGGGGAACATATTATTCCAAAACAGCGCGATCGTCTTGCCGTGGCGGCAAGAATATCATGCTCGAAAATTCCTCTACGAGAAGCTCTTCATCTTTCGTAGTGGTTTAATCAAATTGGATCCACTACTTGATGGCTGGCAGGCAGACGGTCTCAGCAGCAACGCCAGCGCCAACGGGTCAATCCTTCACGGCATTATACGCCGTCTCGGGCAGTGCGAACATTTCAATAGCCTTTTTTCGTCGAAAGGTGCTTTCATAGTCCACCATTCTCCGGAAGCCTACGTTATTACAGGGACCCCCGGAAAACTAGCACTTCGACTCATATCCTTCCTGGGGGCGCGTGCCCCGGCGTCTATGGTTCTCTCTGCACATGGCTAATGCGTATGAGTAAAAGCGCATAGACCGTAACGCTATCCTTCTCCATCTATTATATTCCCCAGTAGTTGTGTTGTCGCTCATAAAGTCTGTAGGAGGCTAATTGCTAAAGTTTGCGTATTTGATTTTGGCTGGTATGGATCTATACACTGCTGGAGGAGTCCAGCAAGTGAATTACCTACAAACCCTTGGAGAACGATAAAGGCGGGTATCAATCTGTCTAAAGAAAAAAGGTTGCGGAGACCGCTCCGAGAACTAATCCGTGTTGTGGTCACTACACAATCGACGTGGTAATGGAAGCTGGCAACGTGATCCTGTATGACTTGCGGAAAGGACAAGGGATCATACCGCCGCGCGACTTGAGAAGCCGTCTTCACAGAATCCGATTCCTGGACATCATGGCCCCATAGGCGCAACAAACTCCACATTCTGTCTTTTTGAAACAAACTGGTGCCCCTTTTTATCATTCCAAGGGTAGTCTTTGGTTGAATCAATCATCTCCTACTAAAACATACTGCTCGTTGGTACTTGCAAAACTGCCACACGTAGAACCGATATGGATGGGTCAAGTAGCCCCTGATATGCTACTCAGTCTCTGCAGTAAAGATGAAAATAGTCACTTCCTCCTTCAGCCTCTAGCAAACACGGAGTGTAACTATTCCTAGCCCAAATCCCTAGGTATAGATCAATAAACCGGCCATCCAAGCACACCTAGAACGCAACACACGGCTCGCCGAGCATGTCGGTCTCTGGCCGCCCACTGTTTTCGTGAGTGTCATGACCCGAATGTGTCCGAACAGGATCGTGTTCCAGCGTTCAAATCTTTACCACGCCCGGAGCCCGGGACAGTCAGTCGCGGCCCGAGACATTTCTATGCATGTCGGCTCCGATGCCCCCAGTTGGGGTGCATTGTCGGACTCCTATGCCGGCACATGGGCCTCCTGTTACGGGAGCGGACAGCTGGGTTCACGATTAGACTAGCAATTCGCATGTGCACTATGCACAGGTGCAAATATCCAGAGTAGTATCACACAGTTAACAATAAGCAAGTTCAAAGCCGGCCAATGCAGAGCTCAAGTGCGGATTGGCTAGTGCCTTCATCTGGAATTCTGCGTGATATAGGGGTTTCTTGCACCCTACTTGACATCGCTCTAACCTACATGGAGAGAAATCACCAGCCAACAGGTACTTTTCTGACCAAAGTTGACCAGAGGATTAAAAAAAAAAAAAAGCCCAGTCTAACGCGCACTATATCTGCATTTCGTCTATGAGAAGCGACACCGTCAGGCATGTCTACCGCCCCTGCTCATAATCTATAACAACCGCATGCGCCATGTCAAAAAAACCGGCTAATGTGCAAATCTAAAATTCAGCCTCTTACTGCCCTCGTCCTTTGTCGTATTCAGATAGTGAACCCGCTCCTCCCTCGTCATCGATGACCAAATCTTGTCGCGGCGCTGGTTGACCAGCACATAGTACGCCTTGACACCAATAACCACCACAATGTTCCACGCCACAATGCCCAGCAGGACCTTGTTCCCCGTGTAGTAGTAGGGCTTGTCGTCGTCTCTGTAAATCTGCGAGGCAAAGATGCTCGACATCTGCACCGCCATGTTGTACAAGGACGAGCCGACGGTCCGGGTGCGCACCGAGCCCGAGTTGCGCGACGTGAGCGCCACCAGGATGGCGTGGCAGTACGGGTGGCCGACGAGCAGCGTCGACAAGACCCATTTCGACCAGTTGCTGTTTGGGAAGACGGGGGGCAGGGCGACCAGGGCGACCAGCAAGGGCAGTGTCCAGAGCTGGGTGACGAGGGCGATGAGCACGCGCTGGTTGATCTTCTCCGAGACCCACGTCCAGAACAGGAGCTGTATGATGAAGATGGTGTACGCGGGGATGGTGAGGAGGTTGGTCTCGAACGTGTTGAAGCCGAGGGCCTTGCAGGTCAGGGTGATGTAGGCCTGCGGAGGATTCGTGGGGATGGCCCAGGACAGGCCGAGGAGGTAGATGGGCCACAGGTGGTAGTCGAGGAGGGCGTCCTTGAACAGGGACCAGCTGAGGCCCTGGCGGTTGTGCATGGTGGCCTTTCCGGGGTCGTCGCGCAGGATCCTCGTCACCATGATGACCTCTTCCCGCTCCGTGAACCAGCCCTCCCTCGGCCGGAGCAGGCCCTTGTACCTGCGGCGGGCCGTCTGCGTCGGCGACGCGGGGAGGTACAGCCACGTCAGCACGCCGATGATGCCGGTGAAGATGCCCTCGATGAGGAACATGTATCTCCAGCCCTCGTGCAGGGCCCCCTTGCCGCGGAGGTGCAGGATGCCGTAGGCGAGAAAGGCGCCCACGATCTGGGTTGACTGATACGACGTCCAGAACCAGCTGAGGCGCCGGGGCAGCTCCGGGTTTGTGAAGAAGTAGCTCAGGTAGAGAATCACGTCGGGGATGAAGCCGCCTTCGATCAGACCCAGCAGGAAGCGGCAGATGTAGAAGCTTGTCCGGCCGCTGAGAGCAGCCTGCGAGGCTGCGACGATGCTCCAAGACACCATCTGGATGGGAATCCAGGTGTCGGGACCGAGTTTCTTGCTGACGAGCTGCGACGGCAGCTCGGCGAACAGGAAGGAGCAGTAGAAAATGGTTTGGCCGTTGTTGTAGTCGTTGGTGTTCATTTTGAGATCGGCTACGTGGGAGCGTCAGTTTTCACGAGGCTGCACGAATGAGATTCAAAAGCCATCCGGGAGCATACTCAGCATGTTGTCGGACAGGGCCTGAGAGATGTTGCCACGGTCGAGCTGCAATGCAAAGAACATGAGGCACGCAGGAAAGGCAATTCTCCAATTGAGCTAGCCTGGGGGTCAGCATCGCCGGAGCAGAGACGACGGACGAGCTTCAAATGTTCTCATGTACCTTTTTAACCAGCTGTTCCTCCTCCTGCTGTGACCATGTGGCCGAAGGGTCGAATCGATGCGTGCCTTCAAAACCCTCGACGGGCTTGTACACCTCCAACGCCTCTGGCGCAACAAAGACGCCCTCGTTTTTATTTGCATCCTCCAACGACGACGACGAGGCCGAGGAAGGAGAGGTTTCGTAGCCAGCGTCGATGGACACATGGCTAATGTCCTTGCCGCCCAGCTGCCACCACTTTTGCCGTCGATGGCGAACCGTACTCACAACCGCACCGCCCTTGGAGGCCGGGAACGCCTCCGTGTTGTCTCCCTTGGACATTTTTTGTTTTATTTATGTTAATAAAAAAAGGAAAAAAATAAAATCGCCGGGCAGAGGGTAGCATGTGCTCATGTCGAACGTATTCAAAGGGCAGCATCGGTATAAATATGTAAAACCACATGCAGTGTTACTCCCGCACCACCTCCGATCCCTGTCCAAGATAAGAAGCCACAAGCAACCCCCCGGCTTGGGCCTCTAGCAAAGGATGAGTGCTACAGAATCTACAGCGAGATTGGTCTGCGTCCTCTCATCCCCTTACGCCTATGAGACATTGTGGGGGATTGACGTGATGGCAAGGCTCACCAAGCTAGAGCCGGTGGCAGGACGTTCGTGATGGTTGCCGTCGATTGCGTGACCAACGCGGCCGCAACGCACCCCCGCCTCATAATCCTCCAACTCTGCCCGAGATTCGCCCATGAGATGGCCAGTGGATCGTCAAGCGCGATTCGCTGCATGATGGAAACTGCTTTCAGGAGCGGCCCTTCAACGCTCAAAATGCCGTTGGCACACCCCGATGTGTGTTGCTCTACACAATGAACCCTGCAGGCTTTAAAACGTTTTGCCTCGCCTTGATTGGCCGGAAATGATGTCAGATCTCGATAGCTTCGTGGGCAAAGGACGCCGTTGAACGAGCGTGCGGTTTCGGCCGCAGCCATTGGCCCATGGTGACACTAGCACATCTCTGCACATGTTTTGGTTGTGCGGGATGCGGCGTCAATATTCAACACTCCAGACCACTTTTCTTGCGCGGCGGCCCGCACTGGTGATGGCAGTGGTTCGGATGGGGAATCTGTAGGTTTTCGATATTGGCTTCACGTATCCGACGGCTTTGGGCTAGCAGACACGATGAGAATTATACGACATCCGAGCTCGGGATGATATGATGAGAAGAAACCGGCATCTTCTTTGCACACCTGGTCATTTGTCATATTCATGAAAAGCATCTAGCCATGATTCTGCGACTCCAAGGAGTGAAACTTGGTTCGGTCAAGGAGGAGAGCAATGCACCCGAAAGCACGCCATCTAGATGGGTTACCTGGATACAAGTGTATCCTCCACTTTGGAGATTTTCTTTTCCACCAGTTGACGTTGTACTGCCAAATAAAGGTTGCCCCGTCACAGTCGGCATCCCGCACTGAACTGCGGTGAGGCAACACCTTTGTCGACTTCCCCTCATGAGTACGCAGATTGTGTTACTATGTGCCTCTGACCATGAAAAAGAAATAGATGCGTATAATCGAGTACGTGGTGTGTTGCGAATCTCGGGCCTGGGTACGGCCAACACATGATGTTGCCTAATGTAATGCTTGCACTATCTTTTACATCGGAAAACCCCCCCCCCCCCCCCCACAATACAAAATGGAGCG